ATATTTCATTCAGAAGTTCAGCTTTCTCTTCCTCTTTGTCTACAAGTAGACCGTTGTTTGAGAGAGTCGGTATGCCTCTGCTTTCTTTCCCGTTAAGCCTATTTAGCACTGACCATAGCAGTTACTGCCAGACTTGCTCACACACCATGGGTATGTAATTAAATCTGAGAGCAAAGTTAACTACAGACCCTATAAATAGCACACAAGACACACTCACTCAAGACATGATGGACAAATTGAAATTAATAATTTAAGTTAGAGAGATGTCTGCAGACAGTTCAGAGCTGGCTACTGTACCAGTGGCTGATCACACCAATCTGGTCCTGGAAACTTCTTCTACACGAGTAGATATGAAGGACACTTGTAGATCTGGTTTTGTGGGCTGCAGGCTTCCTGTTCACAACAAAAATATTATTATGGTCATTATCATTTCCAGGTCAAAGACAAGTCACCCGTGCCTGACGCCTCTCCAGTTGCCCCCTCCCCCTCTCCAGCTGCCACCCTACCCTCTACAGCTTTCACCCGCCCCTCTACAGCTGTCATCCACCCCTCTCCAGCTGCCATCCACCCCTCTACAGCTTTCACCCGCCCCTCTACAGCTGTCATCCACCCCTCTCCAGCTTTCACCCGCCCCTCTACAGCTGCCACCCTACCCTGTACAGCTGCCACCCTCCCCTGTACAGCTGCCACCCTCCCCTCTACAGCTGCCAGGTGTTCTAGTGGGCCAGTTGGTACTAGGAGTGAGCCACTGCAGTGTGCTAGTCTAAGAGTGCCAGTGGCTACTGGAAGTGAGCGACAACCACAGTGTGCTCACCGCGCCTCTGCTGTGCAGGAAGTGCTACAGAAGCTTGCCAACTCCGGGCCTGCCATCGCTCCATGGGAGGACGAGCTGCTTCTACAACTGGTCAGAAGGCAGCTGGCGGCTGCAGCAGATGGGAAGACCATCACCTGTAAAACAGGAGGACTGGTGGGTGATACAAACAAAAGTGCAATGATTAAAGAAACAGATTTTTGTCAATTACAGTGCTTAATTCCTACATAGACAGGAAATAACTTGTACTGTAAGTTAAAACATGGAGTTTAAAACATTTTTGTCAGTTTTTCATTATAGGGTACGTAAAATGTAGGTATCTTACAAACCTATGTGTATTAAATCTCCTATGCAATGACTCAAGAGACTGATCAGATTTGTTCAAAGGAAAAACATCTCAAGTCCCTGCCTGCATTTAACTGTGTTCTTGTATCTTGCTATTCTGCTTTCCGTTATTGGCCCCCTGGTAATTTTGAGGGGTGGGGTGGGGGGGGGCATAATGGCTTATTCCCCCATTATCTAGCACATGTACTGGGTATACTTGGCAAGGGTACACTATTGCCAAATGGATAAGAAACTGGGGAACGAAAATATCCTTTTTTTTCAGCCAATCACATTGCTTAAGGTAAGCAAGGCCAGGAAGGCTACAGGAGAAGCAAGTACCAAGACAGGACAAAGGAGGACAGGTGAAGTCAAAGCAGTGAGGGAGATAGTCAGCGGGGGCGATACTGATGGCCAGTTGGGGCTCGAAATGAAGTCTCTAGGGAGGGAGGCTCTGCAGAACATACTGAGACAGATGGATCTCTCGGCCATTCAGATACCTACAGGACATCTCCTTTCAGCACAGCTGGACATTGGAATCAACTATAATCAGTGTCGCAAAACTCCGCAGGTTTGTGCAGCTTTACAATATAAACACACTACAGAGGTAGCTAAACATGTAGCAATACTGATATTGTATACAAAAAGGCCCAGTCCATGAAATTTATATATCAATGCATTACAATAATAATACTGCTGAAGTAGCTTGTTATACATCTCTAATTCTGAAGGTGGCTGAAACAGCACCTGGTGTCAGTGGAGAGTGAGCATGAGAGCAGGAGAGTGGCAGGTGAGATGCTTGCCGGCAGGCAGGTTGTGTCAGAGATGCTCCCCCTGACAGTCAGGACAAAAGATCAGAGAAAAGAGGTGGCTGCTAGACCGTGTGCGTATGTCAGTTGTCTGGAATCTGCCGTTCTAGACATTCTGACCAGAAATGCCACTGCAGGGTTAGTAAATTATATATACCTTCAAATTCATTATATTTATTTGTATGGAGAACTTTATATGATGATGATGATGATGATGTATATGGAGAACTTTATATGTAATAATTCAAGAAACGTTTGGTGCTGCATACATGTATGTAGGACTATATATATATAATTATTTCAAGAAATGTTTTTCTGCATGTACTATTATGCAGTATTATAAAAAAAATACAAAAGGCATGGTTCATCTATCTCAGATAAAAATGAATCTTTAAAATACAATGTTAACTTTCTCTCTTTAGTCATAGGATCTTTAAGAAGTAAGAGAACACCTAATGACTACCTGAAATTCTAGGAATGAAAGTTATAGTAGAATCTTGTCAAATGAATTTCTCTTTTTGAGATCAAAAAAGCAACCCTAACTGAAAGAGTACTAGGGATATTAGTTATTTCAAAAGGTTACATTGTGTGGTACATAAGGGTAAGGGGCCAGGAAAAACTTGCTAGCATGCGGGATAAATGTGATCTGAAAAGAATTGACCTACGGAGTTTATGCCCATGTCCTTCCCCAATATACACTATAATAGTAAATAACCTATGTGATATCTATGTATTGACAGAGAGCTGACATGGTTTGAAGGGACGATCCCGGAGAGCGAAGTTTGGATCAAGTTTCTAGGTGATCACGGAGGGGGAAGTTTTAAGTTGGGATTTCAGGTGTTGAACAGGATGCACCCAAATGCGGCCCACAACACGAACATCGTCTGCCTGTTCAAGGCAAAAGACACGAGAGAGAACCTCCTGTCTGCTACAAGCAACTTCTGCAAGGATATTGGAACACTGCAGACAATGTCATGGAGGTACAAAACTACTGTCACAGGGTCTGTGAACACAGATATACCTGTACAGGGTCTGTGTACACAGATAGCCTGTCACAGGGCCTGTGTACACAGATAGACTGTCACAGGGCCTGTGTACACAGATAGACTGTCACAGGGTCTGTGTACACAGGTAGACTGTCACAGGGTCTGTGAACACTGATATACCTGTACAGTTTCTGTGTACACAGATAGACTGTCACAGGGTCTGTGAACACAGATATACCTGTACAGTTTCTGTGTACACAGATAGCCTGTCACAGGGTCTGTGAACACAGATATACCTGTACAGGGTCTGTGTACACAGGTAGCCTGTCACAGGGTCTGTGTACACAGATAGACTGTCACAGGGTCTGTGAACACAGATAGACTGTCACAGGGCCTGTGTACACAGATAGACTGTCACAGGGTCTGTGTACACAGGTAGCCTGTCATAGGGCCTGTGTACACAGATAGACTGTCACAGGGCCTGTGTACACAGATAGACTGTCACAGGGTCTGTGTACACAGATAGCCTGTCACAGGGTCTGTGAACACAGATATACCTGTACAGGGTCTGTGTACACAGGTAGCCTGTCACAGGGTCTGTGTACACAGATAAATGTGCATGAGATCTGTGTAAAATACCCTGTGCAGGCCTGTGTGTGTTCTGTGTTACAGGTATCATTTGCAAAGCAGATATTAGAAAATGTAGTTAACTAGTACCCTTTTTGGTTAGTAATAGTACATTGTATTTCTTTACCTTTCTTCCAGGTCTCCCCAAGGTAGTGTGAAACGTGTGCGGGTATTCGGGGCAGGAGACTACCACCTTCTCTCCCTCTGGTATGGGCTGTCTGGAGCCTGTGGTAGGTGTTTGAACAAAGAGTAAATTAAGATCCAACTTGCTCTGATATTACTAATGGCAGTCAGTCTCAACAGACCTGCACACCTTTTATATATGTATACATATACATGTATTCCTAATATAGTTAATTTTCATTACTGCAAGGTACACATCCATGCCTGTGGTGCCAGGTCAGCAAGGTCGACATGAAGAAAG